TCTCAGGCCACTAAAAACGTGTTAGGTAAGGGTGCCAATGACCTCCATGCTACCCCATCCAGTGGTCTCTATTTCGTTCTAATCTTAGTTAATCTCTCAGCAACTTTGTTCCAGGTGACCTCTTCCGTATTTGTTTTAAACAGCTTGATCAAGCTATAGTTCACATGCCATACAATTCACCCATATAAAGCACACAACAGAAGGGATTTTAGCATATTCACAGGGTGGCATAGAAGTTATTCTGGTGATTAACCAGAAGGTCTGCAGTTCGAAACCACCAGCTTGCTCTGCAGGAGAAAGATAGTTACAGTTTTGGAAACTCACAGGGGCAGTTCTGCCCTGTCCTGAGTTGCCTTTACTCGATGGCAGTGAGTGAAAAGAGTCCTGTGCCCATTACAGTCCCTCCCCAATTTCCCTGCCTTTACCTTTCTCAAGGAACCCTGGTGGCGCGGCTGTAGTTTAAGCATTGGGCTGCTGAAGAGAATGTCAGCAGTTCAAATCCATCAGTTACTCTGTAGGAGAGAGTTCAGCCTGTCAACTGTAAAAGTTTTCCACATCAGAAGCCCTATATAGAGTTCACTAAGAATCAGAATTCTCTTGGCAGTAGAGTTTTTCTTACCCTCCTCAGGCCTGTGCAACCACTAAGTTGCTTTCTGTCTCTATAAGTTTATTACCTAGTGGGGCATTTCACGTCAACCGAATCATATCAAATATGTGGTCTTTGGTGACCGGCTTCTTTCACTTGTTGTTATTAGATGCCCTCGAGTTGGCTCCAACCCACAGTGACCCCATGCACAACAGAATGTCCTGTGCCAGCCTCACAAGTGTTCCCACACCCGACGCCATTGTTGCACCACTGTGTCAATCCACCTCATTCAGGTCTTCCTCTTTTTTGCCTCCTTTCCACTTTACCAAATATGATGTCCTGCTCCAGGGACTGGTCTCTCCTGACAACATGCCCAAAGCATGTAAACGAAGTCTCGCCTTTCGTGCCTTTGAGGAGCACTCTTCTTTTGCTCGGCATAATGTTTTCAAGTTTCACCCACTTGGAGCATGCATCAGCGCGTCATTTCCCTCTGCTGCTGAACAATAGTCCATTGTATGCGTGTACAACATTGTACTTATCCACTCATCAGTGGCCGATATTTGAATTGTTTCTCCTTTGGATAGTATGCTGCTATGAACATTTATGCAAACGTTTTTGCGTGGACATATATTTCTACTTCTCTTGGGTAAATACCTAGGAGTGGGATTGCTGGTTCATCTGTGTAACTGGATTTTCGAGGAAATGCCCACCTGTTTTTCTAAAGTGGCTGCACCATTTGACATTCCCTCTCGCAGAGTGTCAGCATTCCAGTTTCTCCACAGCTTCACAAATGGTCATCACTGTCTGTTTGATGGAGCCACTCCCTCTCTCATTCTTGAAAGTTTCTTGCCTCGGCTCCTAAGACATCACACTCTCCTGATTTTCTCCTGCCTCACTTGCTGCTTTCTCAATTGTAGGGTACAGAAAGATTTCTCCCAAGTTGTCTCCCCCAAGTATATGCCAAACTCAAACCGCTGCTTGCTACACGCGGTCAATGACTGTACATTAGGAGGTCACTGAAAGCAGGTCAGAGGTTATTCTCCTTAAGGGTATCTAGAGCAACCCAACGGCCTCACCCTAAGTAGGGCCCACGCCCTTCTGATATTGTTCCCTTGAAGGAGAGCCCAAAGGCAGGCCTGGGACCACTCAAGGATGACTAAGGTTAGGCTACTATATTGAGTCTTGCCTCATATATGTACCCCTATTCCCTCCCTTTACTATTGCGTGTACACCCCTAGGTCATCCCCCTCCTATTGCTTGTATTGCCTATGTTACAACCCCTTCCTATGATGTAGATTGTTATCTGTAATCAGAGGGCTTGCATGCCCCCAAAGATACATAAGCGTAGGTTAGAAATAAAACCTCACGAGAGCTCTCTCCTGCCCACTCTGTCCCCCACCTCCACGTGTACCACCAAGAGGAGCTGAGATGAGCATGTTACCATGAAATGTGTCTGACTTCTTTATTTTACTCTCTCTCCCATCTCTCCCATTTCTCTATGACTTTACTATCATCTTTATATATCTTAACCGTACAATTGCGCCTACGGAACCCAGGATTAGTTGTGGGGGCTGGCTACCCCCACACTCAATCTCATTTGTTTACTCACTTCCCGTGTTTTTCTCTTCTAACTCCTCCTCATGCTCATTCGCCTCTTCTCTTCCACAGAGCTTCTAAATGTTGGAGTGCCCCAGACTCTTTCTTAGGACAACTTCTCTTATCTACATAGCCTCACGAGGTGAACTTATCTTGTACCTTTAAACACTACACACATTTATGTTCTTAGTCATGACACTTCGCTAATTTCTAGACCACTATATCCAACTGTTTGCTTAGCAAATCTTCTTAGATGTGTCGCAGGGAAGAAAACAGAAACTCAAACCAAGATCACTGCCATTGCATCGATTCCAAGTCATAGCAACCCTACACGACAGAGTAGACCTGCCCCGGGGGTTTCCAAGACTAACTTTTTACAGGAATAGAAAGGCTCATGTTGATCCCATGGATTAGGTGGTTTCGAATTAGTGACCTTGTCATTACAGCCCAAAGCATAACTTATTATGCTGCCATGCTTCTCTGTAAGTGAGAAAAGAGACTCCAAGTTAAAATGGAACTTAGAGTCGCATTCAGTTACGTCTTAAGCAAGACGGAGACCATCATTGACAGGCAATAATGGCACCCAAGGATTTTCAGAAACTCGGCCTCAAATAGAACATGGAGCACAAGAGAAAATGTCACAAAAGCATGACTGGTGCAGATCCATACATCACAGTTGCAGGCAGGACTACAAAAGCAGGAATGGGACCATGATTGGAAAACGTACACTATTAGAAAAGCTTACAAGATTGGTTCAGAGTCCTCCAACCAAGGCAGTCACGAATAGCATCATGATCATGGGGCCCCTAGTACCTTAAATTCCATCAAGAACATACTCAACTAAGTCCTTAAGGGCTAGATTGATCCTCCCTAAACTGGCAAGGGCAGTTAGAGTAGTCCACTTTCTAATATACTCTACCTGAGGGCAAAGCTATTCACACCACCTGTTAATGGTCAGAAAGAATTCAATGGAGACTGAATAATATATGTTGAGACTCACAAACAGATTTAGGGCTTAAATTCTGAGTACCCAGTTTGCAGAGGGCTGTGGATGGCAGTGAAAGCCCAAGATTCATTTGCAGAATATTCAATCATGTGTGATCAAAAGGGTAGCTATTAAACCAAAGACAAAGCTCAGAAGGGTTAGGAAAGGTCAAGGAGGACTGGAAGCTGGAAACAGGAAGTAGAATAAGTGATGTTACATTGTGCGTATTGTAATCAATGGCATGACACTAAATGTGTATGTGTAGGGAATGGAAAACTGATCTGCTCTGTAAACCATCACCTAGTTCAGCCAACCTGCCCCCCCACCCCCCACACTACCACCACACACACACACACACAAAATGCCCATGTTCTAATTCCCAGAATCTGTGAATGTTATGTTCTGTAAAGGAGACTTAGAGTAGTTAATCAGTTGATTAACTGATTAACTAAATTATCTTGGGTTTTCAAGAGGCAGAATGGTCAGTATTAATAAACATGTAAAGAACTCAAATGGCCATTACTAGATTTGAAAATGGAAAATTAAAGGCAAGGACTTGACACTTTTAGCGGGTTATCAGTTAATGAGCCTTGGCGGCATAATGTTAGGCTGCTGTTAGTTTAGCAGTTAGAGACCACCTGCTCCCTAGAGAAAAATGAGGGTTTCTACTCGGAAATCCATAGAAGCAGTTCTGTGGAATAAGTTAGAATTAACTTGATGACGGGGAATTTGGTTTGTCACTTAGTATTATGTCCCACTCATCTATCTTGCTTGGTAAATAAAGCTGTTGTACTTTTCTTGCATTGTCACCTAAGTGAACATCGCCGGGGCCATAATTTCTGAGAGGTTCCTGATGCACAGGATAACCCCAGCTTGTGATATGAAGCACTCTTAAAGGCCAACATTTTAATTGAGCCGATAGTAGATAACGTAAAATTACACATCTACACAGAAGTGAGGCACACATCTCGACTTGGCCGGAGGGCCTACAAGCTCTTTTGGCGCTCTTCCACACTGCCTCGGGCTAGCTTAGCGCAGGGCCACGTGTCAGTGCTTAGTTTAACCGCGCGACAGGCCCCCGTAAACGGTTAATAACTGCCTTCCAGCCTAGGCCTCTACCCTCCATCTTTGCGTGGAAGAGGGAAGGGGCGCGGACACAGGTGTAGCGACACGGCCGAGACGCGGCGGGTAAACCCGGGCCCCAACAGTCAAGTTTTCAAAAAGCCCGCGCGTGGCGCCCCAGGCCGCATCCGTTGGGAACGGCCCCAGCGCGGCGCGGCTCCCTCCCCCGCCCGGGGCCCGGCGGGAGGAAGCGTACGGGTGGGAGGCAGGCTCAGCTCAGGAGGGGCGCCGGGGCCAGCGCGCACCAGGGAGCGCGCCCGTTCAGCGGCTCCCGAAAACGGAAGTGGGCGCAAGATCGCTGTGATTGGCTAAACCGCCACGTCTCTCAAGGGGCTGGCGCGAACGCCACTGCGGAGTTGGGCGAGGAGCTCCAGGAAGGGGGAGGGGGAGAACCGCTGGGAACAGCCGCAGGGTTGTGAGGAAGCGTGCTGCGGGAGCGCGCAGAGGGCAGGGAGGATTCCTCTCGAGGGCGCGCTCGGGCCCCAGGGAGTGGAAGTAGGGCCGTAGAGGCGGCGGCAATTGCTGCTAAGCCAATGCTTGAGTAGACCGCGGAGGGCGGGGAGCCCCCGGTCGAGAGCGGCGCTGCGGCGCGGGAGGCGGGACTAACAAGAGCCAGGCGGGGATTGGCGGGCAGCCTTAGGCTGCCGTACGTCGGCGGTGACGCACGCCTCCGGGAGGGTGCGCGCGCGTTCAGCGGCCTCTTTGTGTGGTGCCCTGATAGGGGAGCGGAGGTGGCGGCGGTGGCAGCGGCTGCCTTGGTTGTCTTCCAGTCTCCGCAGCTCGCCCTCTAGCCGGAACCTCTCCCCTTCCCTCCCCCTTCCTTTCTTCCTTCCTTCCCTCCCCTTCCCTTCTTCCCTTCCCCGGCGGTGACCGGCGCTCGCGGCGCCAGCAACGGCTGGGCCTAAGCCGTGAAGAGGCCGCAGCCTTCGATAACGGCGACGGCGAAACCGCGGAGCTCGCAGGGCGTGGGGCAGGCCCGGGCCGCGGAGATGGAGAATTCTCAGCTGTGCAAGCTGTTCATCGGCGGTCTCAACGTGCAGACGAGTGAGTCGGGCCTGCGCGGCCACTTTGAGGCCTTCGGGACTCTGACGGACTGCGTGGTGGTGGTGAACCCCCAGACCAAGCGCTCCCGCTGCTTCGGCTTCGTGACCTACTCCAATGTGGAGGAGGCCGACGCCGCCATGGCCGCCTCGCCCCACGCCGTGGACGGCAACACGGTGGAGCTGAAGCGGGCGGTGTCCCGGGAGGATTCGGCGCGGCCCGGCGCCCACGCCAAGGTGAAGAAGCTCTTTGTCGGAGGCCTGAAGGGAGACGTGGCCGAGGGCGACCTGATCGAGCACTTCTCGCAGTTCGGCACCGTGGAGAAGGCCGAGATCATCGCCGACAAGCAGTCGGGCAAGAAGCGCGGCTTCGGCTTCGTGTATTTCCAGAATCACGACGCGGCCGACAAGGCCGCGGTGGTCAAGTTCCACCCGATCCAGGGCCACCGCGTGGAGGTGAAGAAGGCCGTCCCCAAGGAGGATATCCACTCGGGCGGCGGCGGCGGCTCGCGGTCCTCGCGGGGCGGCCGGGGTGGCCGAGGTCGCGGCGGCGGCCGAGACCAGAACGGCCTTTCCAAGGGC